TGCTGATGGAGATGCCGCATTTCGTCCAGTCACAAAGCGCAGCGGCCGCAACCGCGATGAGGCACCACCCAACGTCGTCACACTCGCGCAGCTACAAACGGGCGGCTGAGTAAAGGAGCGCTTCACTGCCGCCAAGTCCAGCACACGACAATCAGAATACATGCCGACTGCCTCAGAACTTCCGCGCGCATCCAGAACCCCGCGGGCGCAGCGCCCTAGCCTCTCATGACGCCGCCTCAGGATGCCACGCCGAAACCCCCAAAGTACCCAGCCGATGTGGAGGCGTCGATGATACTGCCCAAACAGCGCGCATCCCCGGCGTCCTCTCTCGCCAGCCTCCCCTACCGCCGCTCCAACCCAAGCCTCTCCAAGCTGTTCGAGTCCACCACGAGCATATCCACGTCGCGCCCCAACTCCGGCGCCGCAACCCCCACCCAAAGCACCGTACAGGGCTCCGTCTTCTCGCCGGGCTCAAGACTGAGTGGGACAGGCACGCCAAACAGCCTGCCGCCGGGAGTATCGGACGAGTACCGCGCGCTTATACAACGGGCGTTCGTACCATGCGTCGCTGTGCTTGCGGACGCGGAGACGGAAGAGCTGATTCGGGGCAAGGGATTGGAGGGCGGGCTACTACAACTACTGCGGCCATTCGGAGAGGCAGTGCCCGGAAAGGTCACGATTCGAGATAGCAATGGGGCAAGCAAGAGCTGGGAGGACTTTGGTGTGCGCTTCATAGGCGTAGACGATGCATATCCAGACTTGCGCGTGGACACAGGTGGCCAACGGACATCTTCGAGCTCCACACGGCGACCGCGACGGTCAGGAGGCGATGTGTCGCAAATCGAAGAGCTAGTCGACCGACATCTGCAGTACTCCGAGTTCAACAAGCAATCCCCCGTGTCCGACTACATAAGCAAAGGTGACACAACAGCCACGCAGACAGACGGCACCGCTTCACCCTTCCATACTCTATATCTACGGAGGCTATTATCAGGACTACCAGTAGTGCCTCATGAGACTTTTTCCCATCCCGTGGCTGGCATAATAGCAATCTCATCACGAAATCCACACCCTATAGAAGAGCTGCGGAGGCTTTACAATCGCCAGCATGACGGCGATCTCCGTTTTCCGCAATGGGTAGAGAACGACTTTTTACGATATTACGTCCTGATACACGATGAGGAGACTGGGGACATCGCCAAGTCCAACCAGACATTCGATTCGATGAAACGCCATTTTGGTTTGCACTGCCACTTACTGCGACTGAAGAGTCAGCAATGCATAGCTTCAGACGATGACAGCGTGCGTTTGCCGACGTGCGAATGGATGTCTGCAGGAGAAGAGCTAGCAGAGATTCAGAGGCGAGGTAATTCTCACAGTGTGAACATAACATCAGCCCTGCGTACTGACTATCCCTACAGAAACCACAGACGACATAACAGACCCAACACCCTACTTCCCCGATTCCGACATCAGCAGCTTGCGTACCTTCATCCGTGAACTAGTCACCCAATCCATAATACCCAACATGGAGCGCAGCGTCTCAACCTGGAACGAGCAGATCCTGTCCCGACGCCGCGGTCTGTCTGGCCGCTTCATGTCTCTATCAAAACGTTGGACACCCTTTGGCGGCTCAAGGACCTCCTCATCATCCTCGACTGCATCAGGGAACTCCAACTACGACAGCCTACAGGGATTCTACCGACCCGACGCCCCCGAAGCCATCATGCGACGGCTAGCAGATTACTGCTTCATGCTGCGTGATTGGAAACTGGCATTGAGCACTTACGATATCCTAAGGACAGACTTTCAAAACGACAAAGCATGGCGGCATTACGCTGGTGCTGCTGAAATGGCCGCTTTGTCGGCTCTCATGGCACCCACACCACTTTCCTCTAAATCCCGCGCCGAAAACATCGATGCTTGGATAGAAGCTGCATCGTACTCGTATACCGACCGCCAGCGCAGCGCAGCGCCATACTACGCTCTCCGCACCCTCGCCCTCAGCTTCGAGCTCCTGCGCCTCCGTGGCTCCTCGGCCGCAGACGACGCCGCACGCTGGGCGACCCGCATTCTAGAAACAGGTCTCGTAGGCTCGATAGGTCATGTACTTATCACCGAACGCATCTCAGCTTGCTATGCTGTGCGCACTGGCGTGGGCATGTACAAACTAGGAAGCCGACGTCGGAAAGCAGCGCTATGGGCTGTGCTTGCCAGCGAGAACTGGTACAAACTGGACAAGTCGCAGCAAGCGGAACGCGCCCTTGACACAGCGCTCAGGCTATACAACACCCAAGCTGAGAACGCCGATGGAGGAGCGGTTCGACTACCATTCGAGGACATGCAGCGATTTGTGGATGAGTTGAGACAGCAGATCATGGGCTTGAGGCTGGCAAATCAGGGCTATGGTAGCGAGCATGGAGAGGGCGATGAGGACGGTAGGCAGAGTCCGGAGGTGGAAGAGGAAGCTGAGACGTTGGATAAGAGCCCGCGGTTGCATAGGAAGAGCTTAATTGGGGTTCAGGTGCCACCTGTTGATATGGCGGGCCCTCTGAGTCCAGCGCTTGAGAGACCGAAGGGCGAGGTGGATGCCAAGGGCGAGGGCTTTGAATAGACGGTAGATATGCATAATGCTCATGACGATCAAGACGTACTTATCAACAACCTCACACATGCTGAACATCACACACACGCGGATCAAGCAGCGACAAGTCAACAGCAGTAATGGTTTCTCATTTCTAGGTTCAGTCATATCCCAAGAGATGAGCCATCATCATCCATGTGGAAACGCAAGCGTAACCCCCAAACGCCAAAGCCAGTGAACAGAGCGCGGCCCAAGCACTTTGGCACCCGTCAGTCATGCTGGCATATGCAACGATGTGTAACAGACAGCCCCTGCCAATGCTCGTATGCTATGCAAAGAAGGAAAAGGAAAATAACCCGGGAATAATAAGCGCCCAATGTTATGCTGGGGTATCATCGTCAGCGTCATCAATATGAACCGTGAATCGGTGTCCGTCGTCGTAAGGCCATGATGCTACCAAGCCTACTAGGCGGTAGCAGCGGGTGTGGTCTCTGCCACGGCAACACTCTTGGGTGCTGCAGGAGCCGGCTTCTTGGGCTCTGATGGGGTTTGTGTGGAAGGTGGTGCGGGCGTAGGCGCGCGAGAAGTCGTGCAGGATGGAGTAGGGGAGGAAGTATCTGAGGTGCGAAGACCGCGGAGCTTGATGGTGAGCTTGACCTTCACGGGCTCTGGTTGAGAAATTTCAATGTTGGACCGCTGCGACGCTGCGAATCCGTTTGATTCATCTGACGAGCTCTCAGTGCCCTCTGGTGTAGAGTCGGAGTCGAAGAGCGGCAGAGGCGAGCGGCGCTTGCGTGAGCGGCGACGCTGGTCATCGTCGTCACCGTCGACACTAGGGCTAGGCCGCTTCTTGGAGATGACCTGGGGCACGATGTTGACGTCAGGGGGGCCGCTGTGAGGTCCGGCGATATTGCGGACGGAAGAGTAATGCTCCCAAGTCTAATTGATACGTCAGTACTGTGCCAGCGGGGTAGTCAGTGGTGGCATGGCTTACGTGATAGGCAATGTGAAGTGTCTGGCGGCTGTCCTGAGCAGCCAGGTCCTCGTTGGACGTGTAGCATGTGCGGGGCGAGAAGAGGTAGGTGTAGTCAGCCTGCCAGAGGCGGACGTTGACGTTGAGGGCGGAGGCAAATGCTGAGACTTCCATGTTGTCGGCCCACTCGCCGGGCTGGCCCATCTTCTCGACGTGCTCTTCAAACTGCTGTTGCAGCTGCTCATCGGTGTAGCATGTGGTGTCAAGGCGGTTGGCGGCAGCTGCTGCAGTCTTGCGCTTGGGGTTCCGTCGCACGGTGTTGCAGGCCATGTACTGGCGATAGAAGTCGGCGCTGTCCTTCATGTGCTCTATGGTGGTGGTGCGCAGCACCTCGTGCATATCTTGGTTGCCGTAGAGCTGGTCAGACAGGGCGTTGAAGAGGCAGTTGCCTTGGGGAAGTCAGCCTTGAACATGGAATATGGGGTAATTAAACTCACCATCGCCGCGGATCTGGCTGGCATACAGGGCATTGGCCTCGAGTATGGGGAATTCAGGCGAGTTGGCCCGCTGTCTTCGGGTAGCCATATTGTTGGTGGTGTATCAAGCGTGCGTGTTGGACAGGAGAAGTCGGTGTAATGCAAAGAGGAAGGCACAGGAGTGGGGTGACGGGGTCATGGATGAGGGTTGAGCTTAGGTGCGACAGTTGCTATTGTAGAGAGGGCTGGGCCGGCCACGCCAAGTTGGTGAAGGTCGTGGCCGGTGAACGTGAATGATGAATATCTTTGTGACGCGCCCGAACTCTTGAGGCTCTCGAAGGGACACGGCGACAGGGATGGCTCAGCTTGGCGGGTCGCAGGAACAACGATCTCCGCCCCGAGTCAGGACAGCTCGCGCTCAGGAGCCTGGAGAAGTACAATCAGACGTCAGCCAACCAGACACCGGGACAGCGCCTTCTTGTACTTTTCAAACGACAGAAACTAAAGCTCCAGATGGTACGGAAAAATCTTCGGCCTACATACCTCGGAGCCTGCAATGATGTCACGGACCACAGAGCTCCCCCAGCTAGCCGATGGGGCAGGCCCGACTGTTTTTCGCGATATATCGGCGGTGAAGGGCAAAAAGCGCGTGCAAGTGGGCGAGAACCGAGTTTGCTCAATAATCTGGACAATAGCACAAAAGTGAAGGGGGCCGGGGCCAGCGTTATAATAGCTTTACAATAGCAAGCAGGCCAGTTGGTCAGTAAACAAAGCTCGCATGTGCGCACGCGTTTTGTCTCGTGTGCGGGAAGGAGCCAATAGGCGAGCCGGGGATACAAGGCATGACCCCGCCATCCTCATCAGGCTCCGCATCCACGACGATAGCAACCTTGGAAGTCCTGTTCTCATCCCACGGCACATCACGGGTGCGTCAAGGCAGCCATCGCTCTGACTCTGAGCTGCCAGCATGGCCAACCAGAAGAATGTCGTCGTTGTCGGGTAAGCTCGCCTATCGATGCTGTCATGATATTTTGTGTTGCCCCTCCACGTCCCGTAGTAATATGTACTCATCCTCGCCTATGACTCTCCAACATGTCTAATCCGTCTTGGGCGGCAACCTCAAGACCGCACTAACACCACCCCAGAGCAGGCGTCATCGGCCTCTCCACAGCCCTCGTGCTCTCCAAGCACAAGGACCTCAGCATTACCGTCGTGGCGAAGCACATGCCCGGCGACTACGACATAGAATATGCATCACCCTGGGCTGGAGCAAACTACTTTCCTGTTGGCAAGCCAGGCTCAAATTTGCAGAGGTTCGAGAAAGCTACCTGGAGTGAGCTCGATCGAATCTGTCGTGAGATACCCGAAGCAGGCATCCACTACCAGGCGACGAGGGTCTATGGACGAGAGAAAGATGCAGGCACCGCTACAGGGCAGTGGTTTGAAGAGCTGACCAAAGAAGATGCATGGTTCAAGGACGTTGTTCCGAATGTATGTAGTGCCTACCCCAACTCGGTTTTCATACATTTATCTACGTTGCTTGCGTGAAGCCATGCTGATGCTTCCTAGTTCCGCGTACTGTCCGAATCAGAACTCCCAGAAGGCTGTGACAGGGGCACGGAGTTTACTTCAGTATGTATAAACACTGCTGTCTATCTTCCCTGGATCGTGGGACAGTGCGTGAAGGCCGGTGTGACCATCAAGCGCGGTATACTCTCCCATATCTCTGAAGCAGGCAGCTTCCATACCTCGGGGCATGCAAATGCCGTCGTGAACTGTACTGGTCTTCTAGCCGCCACACTCGGAGGCGTCATGGACAGTAACGTGTACCCTGGACGTGGTCAAATTGTCCTAGTGCGGAATGAGCCGGGTGTCATGGTGACAGTCAGCGGAACCGACGATGGCAGTGAGGAAGCTACCTATGTCATGCAGCGCGCAGTCGGTGGTGGCACCATCCTCGGAGGCTGTCTACAACACCACTCGTGGGAATCGCAACCTGATCCCAACCTCGCACAGCGCATCATGCAACGCTCCATCGACCTGTGTCCGTCGCTAGTACCGAAGACTGGAAAGGTAACCGAGCTGAGTGTCGTCAGACATGGTGTGGGTCTGCGCCCTATGAGGACTGGAGGTCCAAGGGTGGAGAGAGAGAACATTGATGGAGTTGAAGTAGTGCATAGCTACGGGCATGCTGGCTATGGATACCAAAGCGGCTGGGGAAGTGCGTGGGAAGCAGAGAAGCAGGTGTTGAACATCCTGAATGAAGGCGGCATAAAATCGAGACTATAAGTGTGCCCACGGAGCATTGATTTGGCCGGCCGTGGTAATGGATAGTAAGAGACAGCTATCGAAAGGGCGGGCTATAGTAACTCTGTCCGGGTTAAACCCCTCCTTACCGGAACTTCCTTGGTTTCTTCGACCCAACAACGTTCAAGACTGTCTTCCTTCTCCGGAGATGACCTGGTCCCAGAGGCCGTGTGTCTGCAATCTCGCCATCGTCTACTTTTTCCACGTCTTTTGGCTTTCGTTTCCAGGCACGCCGCCCGCGCGATATCTTCTCTGATCCCCACATAGCATCGCCCATCGCGCGTACCTTAGCCCACATGTACGTTCCATGATATGCGATCATCAAGGAGAGTCCTCCAATCAGCGTTGTGGCAGGAATGGCAATGACCCAAAAGAGAGCTTGCGAGCTGCTCATGTCTCTTATATCTGTAGTGTTCATGCCGAACACGGAAGAGATGAAAGAAAGAGGGAGAAACACGATTGTCACTAGAGTAAACACTCTGATGGCTTTCGAGTTGCTTTCTTCTGAGACTTCAACGTTGTGGCGGAGCACCTCTTTGGTCCTATCGAACAATGCCTGTGTTTCCCTTACTCCTATAGAAGTTGCTCCCATGCTGGCAGGGCTGCTGAGATTTTGGTCCATGAGGGGAATTACGATGTCTCTGTCGGCTCTGAAACATTCTTTAGTGGCTATGCGATAGGTGGAGGGACCGATGATTTCGTAGAAATCCCTGATCATGCGGCGTTGTTGAGCGCAGATGGAGGCTACCATCTCGAATTCCTCTTCCAAGAGGTACAACTCTCGGAGGGCAAGCTTGGAGGGCCGACGGCTAGCTTCGTATTGCTATGTCTTGTTAGCGGGTAATCATCTGGCTGAGCTAAACAGTGCACATACCATTTTCGAAAGATGCTCTCGGTACAAGTCAGGTACAGACAAGTCGTGCAATACCGCTCTTGACCAGAGATGGATGAGGCATATGAGCAAAGTAACTTCAGGCGTACTGCGGAAGTTTTGTACAGCTCCCCGGTGGCTGCCGGTATGCGCCATGATCAGTAGCTCTTTGCGCGCTGACGAAAGCGTAGTAGAGGCTGCTGAGCCAAAGTATGAAAGCAGGTCCATGTGAGTCTTGAGCTCCTTCCACGAAATGATCGGCATCGTATCGTCCAGATTGAGTTTGTGCAACTCAACAACACTATACCCGCAAGTATCGATCATCTGCAGAATCATCTCTGCTGCTTTTACAAGCGATAGCGGTAGGAGATACTCGCTCGGCTTTTCGTTTCTTTCATTGGCGACACTGTTGCGGATATCAATTGCTTTGGATCGCAACGTCTCAACGCGCAGTGCCATTGCACTGAGATACTCGACAATGAGCTCGTTTTGCTCCTCAACACCAGCTAGCTGAGATGACATAACCCAGTGGGATAGCTGTGCTCGAGAAAGATGTGATGACTGATTCGTATCGCTGACGTGATCGCGCCGCAGATGTTCGAAAGCTTCTTCCGCGCTCGAGTAGTACCTTGCGCGCTTGCAGAAGTCACACTGATTAACAGGAAAGGATAGATCAGTAAGCTTGTGAAGCCTCAAGTATTCTTTATGAGGAAGTTCACGGATCGCGTAAGTCGACGATGGCTCTGACTCCTCCAGCTCTTGATATACAACATTCTTGACGCCCATATAGCCAACGATCTGCCAAGGTCGTGTAAGTAGTAAGCCAAAACAGCCTTTCGGCGCATTCAAAGGAGTCATTACCTCAATGATAAACTTCAGTGCACCCCAACATCTGCGCAGGAGCTGATGATCGTAGTGTTTTGGTACAAATTGGTCTACGATCTCCATAGTAGAATGGAAAACGCGTTGTGCGTGTTTGTGCATCAGAGCCATTTGCCATTGGGTGACTCTTCTCGTCGTGACATAGGTCTCCGCTTCTGAATCAGTTCTGACATCAGCTGCAATGTCACTGTTAGTAATGCCGGTACCTGATTCAAGTGGATTGGAGAGGCCATTTGTGTCGTCCATTACAGTCAGCTCGTTGGGTTTAGTTGTGTTTCCAACGACTCTGGCACAGGCCCTGTAACAGGCCGCTAGTGATGTCAGGACAGCGTCGAGGGAAGACTCTTTATTGGTGAGGCGTACACCTAATTGATACTTGTGGGCAAATGGATGCGTGAGATCGATTGGTAGTCTTGCTACGTCCGTCCGCGTCCTGGTCAGCTGCTGTTCGATAGCAAACAGAGTAAGCTGTATATGGGTACTCTCATCAGTATTGTGCTCTGATGGGTCCTCTTCTGTTTGCCATGCAAGGAAAGGTGGCACACGAAGACCGGTATTCAATCTTGTAAGCTTAGGACTTGGGGAAACTTCTCGCGTTCGATACGTCGTGGCTGCGCGATTTCTGTCCATCGTCTTTTCGCGTGAAGCTCTATCATCCTGTTAAAGTAAGTGTGATTTTCACTTCCGAATCTCCGTCAGCGAGTGCGTACATGTTCGGACGGAGAAGCATCCATCGGCGGATTCTGCTCTTGTCGCTCCTGTGTTTGAGCGCGTGATCCCTCTTGACGCTTCCTTTCGAGATGCGCCTCTATCCGACGGTCGCATGTGTGGTCAAACATCGGCAGCAACTCTTCTGTTGTCAGGTGTTGGAAGATGATCCAGAAGTTAGGATCAAGTATGTCATGCTGGAATCGAAGATTGAAGTGAAGCAAAGTAGCCCTATCGAGTTGACTGGTCGGTACCCTGGTATAGTTAGGTAGAGATCGCTCTTCTCTTCCGGGTGCTGTGTCGGTTCCTTGATTGATGATGGCTTCGATAAGGTTTGGAAGGAGGCCTGACTTGGCGAGTCGATTGCGGAGCTCAAATTCTAGTTGCTTTTGGACATCTCGGTTGACTTGGTCAGTATTTTGCCTCAACGCAGCAGCAACTTCTTCACTTATTAGTCCTTTGAGGTCTCTGACTTGTAATCCCACGAGACCCCTTAGGTCCCCAGGGCTATCCTCGACACCGAGACGTCTCTTTTCTTCCTGTGTTATATTCGCATCATCCTGTGGTGGTAGATCTGAGTCAACGAGCTCTTCCCCCTTTACGTCTCCTTTGAATAATCCTGGAGCATCTTGTGTGGCAACGTGCAAGTTGGGTTGACTTTGTGAAAAGCGAGCTTTGGCTTTTACTCCAAATCCCACGCCCTCTTCACAATCTGATATCGCATTCCGTATCGCTCCCAACGTGGCCTCTTCATCTTCAGACTCAGGACGATCTCGCTCGTTGATTGAGCGAGATGATGATGACAACGGACCCTGAACATCTTTTTCTGTGTATTTTCTCGTATCGTAGACATCAGGCGTAAGCTCGAAAGAGCCGGAGAGCTTTTCATCGTCTTCTATGTCGATGTGTTCAGGTACATGAGACTCTCTTGAACTGTGCGCCGACTCGACTGGATCATCAACCAATGATGTACTACTGACTCTTTCCGCGAACGATAGAGCCTCACCAGCAAGCTCTTTGGTGTCAACAACGGATGCATACGAACCACTGCTGATATGACCAGAGTTATCACTCTCATACGTGATGGCCCTGGCAACATGAAGGCCATCTTGTACAAAAGGTGGCCTTACCATACGTTCTGGACGGCGGAAGATGATCGGCTTCGGGCTAGTAATAGGGTTGCTGCCACTCACGAGCGAGTAGGGGTCATTCACGACGTAACCTTGCCTTGCTAAAAGCTCACTGGTTGCGCCGACGTATTTGGAGTGGTAAATCGGCTCGACATCGTTGCTGTATAAAGATCAGCGGGAGGCCAAGAGAGAATGTGTTCGGCTGGTAACCGCTTACAAAGGTCGCCTTAAGATAAGTGCTTTAGTCTTGTCTTCATCTGTTGAGTCATGTTCTGAGCTCAGATCACCATACTCAATCTTTCCTTGTTCACTACGCGACCGATCGATCAAGGAGATATCCCTGCTTGTGCTCTTCCGGCTGAGACGCAAAACAATCATTGCAGATCGTTCGGATTTCATGATGTGTGGCCATTGATCTGCCTCCAGTACTGAGTCATCTGACCCCACATGTATGACATAGTCTTCGCCATCTTCTTCGCTGTCATCTAGACACTTGCTCTCAATGTTACGACGAAGTGCAACGTATGTTGAGCACAGCTTGAGCGGTAGGTACGTGGTTTGTCCGTAGAAATCGGTGACCTGAACTAGACTGGGTCCGTCTGTGCGAAGATAGTCCCCAGAGATGAACTCAACACTGCCGTCGAAGAGTTCCGGGAGAGCACTTGGTCCGCAGGTGATGATAAGATGGGACTTTACAACCATTGACCAGAATTGGGGAACCCGGAGAGTGTCTCCCTTTCTTATACCCTTGAACTTCTGGAACATTTGTTCGTCATCCCGACCCTGTGCAGCTTCTTGCGGATATGTATACTGGGACAATCCTCTGCCGCACCATCCAGCAACATGTCAGTAAAGTAGTTTGCTTATACGAGCCGTTGCGTGCTGCAAACTTACCGAACCTCGTGTAGTGATGTGTCTTTTGGTGTACGAGAGGGAAGGAGCGCACCAATGTCAAAGTACGGAAAAGCAACAAAGATAGCAGATATGTCAGGGTTATGGGCTTGTGTAGGATCGGTTCCATCACATCGCAGTACTGTGTTCGGCCGTATATAGCTGCCGTGTGAGGTTCGCTTCGTGCATGCACCTTTGATGTGTTTCAAAAAAGAGAGCACAACCGGTATGGCGTCTTCGTCATAGTCAAGCGCAAAATGGGTTGCGGCTTTCTTTCATGATCGTTAGATTGCTGCCAGTGGTCTAGGGATAGAAGCGTACCTCAAACGCATCGAAAGCTATGCAGTGAGTTTGGATATGCCTGCATGTCATTAGCATGATGCAGCCATTGGAATGATTTACGTACAACCAGTGTTCAGATCTCGCATCATTCGTTCCACTGGTGTCCCGCTTTGACCTGGTAATGATCCGAAGCCGTTGAGCTTCTCCGTCAGATGGGGTATAGACCATCGATGCTGCGACAGCGAACTTCTCCTGTTCATGTTTCGAGGCCCCTTGAAATTGTGTTGTGGCTCGTTTTGCAGCCAACACACTTTGGTCTAATCTGTCATTGTTCAGCCTGATCTTGATGATTCGTTCATCATCGGCGCTGTAGCTCGAACTATCCGCGTCTTGCGACATGGTATCGGCTTCTTATGGATGACAATTAATTGTCGGTGTTGGAATTGAAGTCAGAGGTGCAACAAAACTCGGGACGATGGTAGAGGAAGGAATGCGCGTTGACACAAACGCCCGTCCATCTGTGCCACCGAACACTAAGCGGCCCCCAGCCCCCACTTTCGCAGCCGGGTATAGCGCCCTGCAACGTCTCTACAGTACATAAGAATTGCAGGGTATAGCGCCAGACTTTGATAGGCCAATGGTTAAATGCCCATGGTCATTCGCGCCACTCGTCACAGCTGGAAGACAGGGGCGATTATCGTACTCCGCGTAAGGGGCAATCAAGGACAGAAGACGTTCCAGCTTGAGCAGAAGGCTCATATCGCTTGAGTAATAGACCAAAACACAAAACAGATTCAAGATGAAAGGCATAGAAATTGCGTTGAAGACCACGAGTCCTATGTTAATCCCAGGTAATATGTACTCAGCATGGCGCTTGAGCCGGTGTTGTCGCGAAGCATGTCTTGATCTCATCTACGGCTGGCTTCAGACTCTTCGATGGTAATGTCCAATCGTGACGCTTCAACCCTCCTTCGTGAGTCAAGTACCAGAGAGTCTCCGCTGTTGTGATGCGTACCTAGACCTCATTAACGTAAGCCAGCGGCAATAGATTGTATTATGCATACCTTCGGGAACGGATGTAACAGCATGCTCACAGCTTTGGCTAGCGTATCGCTCCTGGTCATTGGGATGACGCCTAAGCCCCGATACACATCCAGCGCGAGGTGAAGCTTTTGCATATGCGTGGACTTGAAATGTGCTTTCTGCGTATATGAAAGAAGTGCTCGGAAACTAACACGGTTAGCGCATGCGCATGGCTAACACCAAAAGGCGATCCTTACTTGAAAGAGGTCGACTGTAGACGCTGCATGACCTGCATATCGAACAAGAAGGCTGTGACCTCTAATAGCGGGAGCAAAACTCTATCATTGCTGATATTGTTCTTCAGGAGTGTCAGGACGCAGTTTGCAAAATCAACTAAGGCAAACTGCGTAACGTCGGATGTATCTTCGTCTTGTAGCATATCGACAAAGTCTAGTAAAGCTGCTCGTGAGTTCTGAACCACGGATTCGGAGCCCATCCCCGCGGAGCTGACAAAACCAACACAGATAGCTTCCGTGATCGCGGGGTTTTTCGCTTTTTGTAACGACATCAGTGCGTTCAGGAAGTAGGTCCGAGAGGAGACCTCGTCTGTGGTTGCGCCGCCGGCTTCTCTCAGCTCGAGGACTTGAGCGGCGTTCATGCGCATCTTATCAAGCTTTTCGAGAGATAGCCGAACGATGTCGGCGTAGATATCGTACTCGCGTTCATTGCGTTTCTCGGTGAGTATTCCATTTGCCCAAGCCAAGCGCACGGTATTCAAGGCCTCGAGTCGGACGAGTGACCCGACATCTCCCCGTTCTGTAATGGTATAGTCGTTAAGTGCAATGTGCAAGGCGCTCGCGATCTGGTCTTCTACGTCGACAGCAAGCTGAGTTAATGCACGGTTCTTGCTCCCAAGCAAACAACGCAGAGCACGTAATGCCACCATTCGGGCCTCGATTGCCACAGCTGATGTGCACCTGAAAGTAAGTACCTTTACGATCCGCCGCTGGAGGACATCCCTTTCAGTATCGGATGCCAGGCTGTCCAAGCTGCCATGCGCAGCTCCCAGGGCGATCGCATGCCCGGAACATCGCGACCCATTGTACGATGCTTCATTTTCCAAACGCAGCAGCCATGACATCACGACGCCAAATGTGTCAGACCCCGGTAATCTAGGTAACAATGAGACTACTGCAGGAACTGCGGTAGCAATAGCTTCGAGGACTGATTCCTCATGACGCGCGAGACAAAGGTCCAATAAATTACAAACCTGTGCCACGGGTAGGTTTGAAGGCCAAAGCTTGCTGAGGGTACCATTGGTGAGTCTCGAGATTGCTCCGATAAATGTACAAACTGATGATGCGGTGAGCTGGGGTCGCAATGCCGGCGAAGTGAATGCCTTGTCTTCAAGCTCTAGTTCTTTTGAGAATAAAGTCCAAAGAGCCATCAAGGACGCATATGTATTTTCGGGCGCTTGTTCCACATGCATAGCTACTGTCGTGTCAACGAGGATCGCAAGGGCAGTCACTAACCCTTGACGCTCTTCCACCTCGCGAGGTCGCAACGCCGCAAGCTTGCCACAGACCTGATCAGACATCTTCTGCACTACCGCAGGAGATCGAGCCTTAGAAAGAGACCCGATGGCCTCAGCTGCAAATAGACGTGAGTCTGAATCCAATGAGCCGGTTCCTCTCCAATCCAAAAGACCACCGAATAGGGCCTCCCAGTACAGAGACTGTAATTCTCCAGCCTTAATCGCCACATCGCACATTGCGCGCTGGCGGAGCCCGACAGCGTGAAAGTCGACAATCTGTACGAGCGGTATACCCTCTTCTATTGTATTGGGGTGGCGACCTATAAGTTCTTGAAGCGCAGCAGAGGAGCCTCTTCTGATGTTGCCTGCTGGATCGAGACAAGCAGCGACTACCAACTCGATTGCCAGCACTTGAGGAACGTGTAATGATCTGAGGTGCTCAGAAGCTCTTATTGTCGCGGTTTCCACCGCAAGGAGGTCAGTAGTGGGGTAGCGGCGAGAGAGTGCCCAAATACCGAAGCAAGCTGCATCGCGTACGTTCGTACCGATGGACCCTCCAGTAGGCGACCGTTGCTCAAAGCCGAGGGAAAGTAGGAGAGCGTTGAGGACGTCCGCCAAATGACTGGTAGAGATTGCTTTGCGATAGAGAAGCTGAGCCAGCGTCAAGGTCAACCCGTGCCATCGGAGTGGGTTCACGCTGTTCAAATTGCGCTTGGACCCCTGCCAGTAGATGTTCTCTGTGAGCGAGCCAAGTATTGCTTCGACAACCTCGCTGGCCATCTCCGCGTCCAATTTGAGAGTGATGATGCTAAGCGCCTTGCTAGCACCGTATCTGACTGGCGTGTCACCATCCGCGAGTGCTTCAAGGAGAAATTCGATGACTTCTTCCAATACCACGGTTGAATCGAGTCCAGGAAGGGTTGATGTCGCCTGTAGGCAATGCAAAACGACATTGCGCAAGCTTTTCACAACTAGCTTTCGAGCCACAGCTGATGACTTGACAAAAGCGAGACTCTCCTGATCCAGTATCTTTCTGCAGGATAGGTATATGGCAGCGAGGAAAGGGCCAAGCTCCTCATTCGTAGCGGAGGCCAACAGCCCTGACAAGAATGAGACAACTCCGAGACACTGATGTATGTCGGTCTTCTCTTCGGATATGTCTGTGAAAAAAGACAAGGACCATTGGACCATGGCATCCAGTAAACCTAGCTTTTGCATATCTGGTCGCACGCATGTCCTCACCAGGAGACTTGCAGCGGCGCTTCTTTCCTTCGTTGGGGATTGAAGCCCCGACATGCACAGAGAAATTACCCGAAGAGTGACACCAGGAAGTTCATCCGGGAGCTTCAGCCCAAGAGCTACAGGTGTTTCTGCAGAAACTTGCAACCCAGACATAGACTCCAGGGGAAAGGGCGCGAGTAGTAACTGTGAGAGCCATAATAGCAGCACATAGCGCTGTATCCAGGGACGAGCTGTGTCCTGCAGTAGGGCATCGGTATTTTCAGATTTAACAACCCCAGTCGCTTCCAACTCGCCCAAGATCGCTTCGAGATGACGTGGTTCGTTATTGAAGAAGCCTTTGACGACCTTTTCGCCTCGGACTTTACAGAATGTATTCAAGACGGAGCATATGGCGTATGCAAGAGTCACAAATCCTGGTTTCGGTTCTTCTGTGGCGCTCGCCGATATTGCTTCTAGATAGGCGGCGACGAGTGGAGGTATGAAGGTTTTGAGGTGGGTGTCTAGAATCTGGGGGTCCTCCTGGAATGGCTCTATCTGTAAAAGGTCAGACAGCCATTGAGAACATTGCTTGATAGGGTTCATACCAAGCTGCATGCCTTGTACATGTCTGCTGTTCGGACATGTTGGCGGACGGGACCAAGGGCAGAGCCATGCTGCCGTTTCCGCAGTAGTCGCGGTAGCAGCCTCTCGAAGTCAGACAGGAGCGATGCAGATGCTCGCTGTAATTTCA